TAGCTTTTTTTTCCCAGGGCCATATATTAATGATCTGAAATGATCTTTGTGTCCCAAAAATGAACCTACCAATGCACTCTCTATGTCAAAGAGGTGCTGGAAATATCTAAGCACCTTTTGGGCAGCTTTCTAAACTTTGTTCTGGCTGTGTGCAAACATCATGGACACTTTGGGTGGAAACGCCGCTTGCAAAGCAAAAGAATGAGCATTGAAACCTCCCTTCTCGAGGAAGGTGAAAGCTAAGGACAGAGCAGTCGGTTAAGCCAGGAAGCTGCAGGGATAGCCAAGGTAACAGCTGAGCTGCTAAAGGCCAGTGAGACAATTGTTAACAGAGCATTAGGACAATTGCAAATGATACAAAGAAAAGAGGAGGTACTGGATAACTGATGTCCTTGACCAATTGTAACAATTTGAAGAAGAGAGATTGCAGTGACCAAATGCTTTAGAGAGGTGCGTTTGCTGCAGGAACATGGTGAAAGCAGCTGCCGAAGGATTAAGACCAATTTTAGAGAATGGGAGGTGGAATGGTAGGAGGAGATGAAGTTAGAAGGAAAATGGGATGTCAAATTCAGGAAAGGGGCAGTTGAAGCGAAGGCAGACGGTAGGGGGGGACCTGGCAGGAGACGTGGGGATGACAGAGTGCCAGGGAAATCCTGCCAGCACACCCAAGGTCAGCCCAACCTACAGGCCAATTGCCAAGTGGATGGCAGCACGTTGGGAGGCAGGGTTATGGCCATGCAGGGTTTGAAGGAGGTACAGGTGTAGGATGGCAGAGAATGGCATGACTGTGCGGTCCTTGTGTCCGGGAATATGTTCTGGGACATAGTATGCAGAATTAGGAAACTTGCACTACTAAGAGGCAAATGAAAGCTTTTCTCTAAAAGCAGCCCTGGAAATGCTGGACAGTGTGTTCATGCTGAAGATGCACTCTGCACTGCTAGCTCCTGGGGAGAAAACTTGTGCTTGGGGTACCAACTCTGTGCTGGTGTGTTTTGGCTTCAAACTCCTTGTGTGACTTTGTGCAAATCAAGATCATCTAAAATTTAGCTGTGAACAGCATCCATATCTTTGTGCATACTTCTAGTTCCAAAAATGATGGTTTGATGTCTGCTAACTTCAGTTTACAGTGAACTTCAATTCAGAAAAGGTGGTTAGGAGGATAAATGTGGGTCTGGACGGCTATTGGGGCTTCCAAATGCATCTTGAATACCAAGCTGTATTGACACCAGTGAAGATCCTGGAGGTCTTCACAGACCCTCTGTGTCTTTAGATCTCCAGTATGATCAAAACCCAGCCCACTCAGTGCCCTGCATCCTCCCGCTTGTAAAACAAGGTCACTACACAAAGACTATGGGGACTGAACACACCTGCTAGTAGCACTGTATTGTGGGTTTATTTTAAATGAAAGGACCTAGGACTTGGGTCCAGGAGGACAGCAACCCTAATCCGCACACATCTTACAGCTATGTAGTGTCATGCACGGAGCATGTGGATGGGATGGGTTTAGCTCCTGGAGGGGAGGTATTGCCAATGACTGGCATTTTCCTTGAAAGAAAACCTGTAGACCTGTTTGCGGTGGGGCTGGGGCAGGTAAAGCTGAGTGTGCATGCAATTGTAGCGTGGTCGTTACCCCAGCACCTGCGCTCAGTGGACACGCGCTCTCTTGCAAATTGTGGCTTGCACAAGGCAGCTCTGGTAGAGATCAGAAGCCGGAGCGTGAATTGGGGGAGCCTGACTGGAGGATGCCCCATGGGGGAGGCTGGGACCCTACCACATCCTCGTTACCGCTGACCTTGGCATGAGCACTGCCTGCTGATGGATCGGCTATGGAGCTGGACAAGACCCTGGGGAACTGCTGTATTATCTATTATCGTCCCATCAGTGCCTCCCCTGACCCCTCCCAGCTCTGAATGCCACAGGCATCAGGGAGGGAATAAATCTCTGTCTGATACTGAGAGAGAGAAGGGAGCGAGAGCAGGAAAAGGAGAGATGAAAAATGTCCTTTTTATGACTCTCACAACAAAGCTGGCCACATGATTCGTAGCAAACATTTCTCTGGGAAAAGGGAGGGAGAGAACGGGGGGAATCAGCAAAAAAACTTCTCTCCCCTGGAAGACACCCATGGGGAATTAATAGAGGGATATGGGTGACCTTTGAAGGTAAATATTCCAGGAAAGGGAAGAGGTCTCAAAGCTTCAGAAAGCTCACGCCAGTGTCTGACGCTGCCTTGTGAAATGCTCCATGCAGCACATGTCCACCATGCACAGAAAGCAGAGGCATAAGTGATTTGCTGTGCTAGAGGGAGCAGCAGGGCCAGGGTGTGATTAATAAGGCACTAATAGCAACCACAGCATTTGTGTTCGTTTCTATTTGGGATGATCCAGGAGAGCTTATATTTGTGAGCGTGGGGAGAACTCCTGACCTTGGTGTCTTTAGGAGACGGAAGCTTTTAGCAGTGTGGTCCAGGGCCTGAGAAGGGGGTGGAGATACATTGCCAGGGCTTGAGAAGCCCCCTGCACATTACCCACTGACAGTTGCAAGACCACAAACATGTTCCTGTGACAGCTGCTGAGTTTTTTGGGCATATAACTGCCTGTGCTGCTGTTGCCAGGGAGGCAGCCCAGCCCTGAGGCTGCGTGCTGGTACTAGCTGCAGTTCCAGTTGTGCAGAAGAGCTGCAATAGGGCTGGGGGTGCAGACTGGGAGGGTTTGCATTGGTGGTCTGGGGATTGTCCCAGAGCATTGCCATCATCAGATAGGGTGGCTGCAGCAACTTCCAGTGTGACAGGAAGGCACCTTTGCTCTCTGGCCTTCTCAGCTGTACTGTCTGTGCTGTGCCTTGGGCTAGGGAATGACATGCAGGCTGTGTTCTTGTTGAAAAACTTCACCTGAGATGTTTATCAAAGTAGACATTTCTAAAGGCAACCAAGTGCTTGGAGTCATGGAAAAAGACCGTAAGCTGTTGTTCTGTTCTGCTCCCAGACAAGCATGTATCTTAGTTGCAAGTGCCTTCCCAATTACCAGCACTAAGAACGCAGTTGTACAGAGCTTAGAGTCCAAAAGCAGAAGCAACCTAAATCCATTGACAACCAAGTCATTTTAAACAGGGGAGGTCTTGCTGAACCCGGTCAGCTGTCACTAGGGACAGGCTTGGGCTGGGGAGTGCTCATCAAGGCTGGTATCTTTAACGTGCCAGTCATGGAAAAGTGTGTTAAATTCCCACTTTTACCAAAATGGCTGTAACAACTCCTTGGTAATCCCAGTAATTTGATTTTGTCTATAACGTGCTTTTAAAGTAAAGGGATAAATACAATCAGTCTGCATAAAAGATAGCTATTAAGGAGCAGGCAAGTTGTACAATAATAACTTTAAATTAAAAGCCCTTTCCCACTACTTCTGCTGTCGTGGGGTCTGCAGATTTTCCTTAAAACTTTTGAAACGTGCCTAGACTTCTTATAAGCAGCCATTTAACCTCCGTTTATGAAGAAATAAAGCAAAATTGATGTTGATTTTTGTCTACATTGGGGGATACTTTTGCAACATAAAAGCCCTTTTGCCTGCAATTTGCAGAGCAGCCCTGTCACATTGGTGAGGGCTGATACTGATAAAGATAAAGCTTTATAGCTGGGGCATTTGCAGCTAACAGCAAGCTAATGCTACATTTTCATTTTGATGCAATTAATGTTAATGTCTGCTACGAAAATTGTCATTAAATACCATTTTAAAATCCATTCAATTTGCATATGCAAAGCCCATTTACTATCATGTAAAATACACAGTGCCGTTCATCATGTCTTTTCTTTAGAATTTGTAGCTGTTATTTTGCTGGTAGTGATTATTATCCTGCTCTTAAAATGAAACCTAATGTCTGATCCAGACCTGCACAGAGCAAGAAAACCCTCCGTGCTCCAGCAGCAGCAGAGCTGCTTTGGAGCCCCTTTCAGAGGCTTTTGAGCACTTGTTTGTGTTGGACTCGCACTGGCTTTTCTGGACTGCCATGCCCTCCAGCCTCCCTTGTGCTCCCGTGGAGGACAGGCAGCAGAAGGACCTAGAAGTCAGTCTAAGCAAGGTGCTGATGTTCTCCCCTGCAGACTCCCTCTTGCACAATTGCCCTTGAGAAATCAGCACAGCAGGCAGTTGGGAGCTGGTATGTGAGGGGGATGTTAAATGGGTCACTTCTAAATGCTGTAGCTATTTGAACCTCAGGCAGGGCTCACGTGTGCTGGATGCTTTATAAAAATTGTTTGGAAGATGCTGCGATGCAAAACACCTAATTCAGTGTGAAGCCTTAAACATCCTGCTGCATTGCAAGGGATGAACAGGTAGGCTTATGCCCTTCCAGAGGAGTTGCTGGGGGAGCAGCAGGTACCAGCTCCCCTCCAGCCCTTGCGAAGGAGCCCAAGAAAGCAGAGAGAGCAGTGAAAAGCTTCTTTGTCTCCACCCTGCTGTACTACCAGTTTCTGCCCAATGCAGGGAGATGAACTAACAAGTGGGAGAGAGTGAGATAAAGAACTTGAACTGATCCTTAACTGCACCAGTGCAAACAGGTAGAAATGCTGTGGCTCTGATTTTCTGACCGTGGGAGGCCATTATTCTGGCTTACAACTCTTCATGTTACTTTAAGTTAAAGGATTGGCATTGAACATTTTAAGAGGTTCTGAGCCCTTAGTGCCAGGGATGAAATGGCGATGTAGATGAGGCGCTTAGGGACATGGTTTAGTGGGCATGGTGGTGTTGGGTTAATGGTTGGACTTGATGATCTTAAAGGTCTTTTCCAACCTTAATGATTCTATGATTCTATGTGTTGTGGCACGTAGATTAGGTTTAGGTAGTTGATTATCTGACACACAGGTGCAATCAGACATGGAAGTGATGCTGTGACTCGGTTGCAGCATGTCCAGGTTTTGGGGACTCTGCTAGCTGAGATATGGGGGAGATGCAGATGTTGAGGGTAGGAAGGGATAATCCCTTTCAGAGAAGGGCCCAAGCCTTCCCCCTTACCGTGCTGTGATGCCGTAAGTCAAGTCTGCAGGTACTTTAGGAGGACTTCTCTTGAAGCGACTGTATTCATCATCTTTGCGCCGAATGTCTTTGGCCTTGTAGTACAAATTAAATTCATGGGCTGTGGTATAACCGGCCTTCAGAGCACCACGGTTCATGGTGATGAAGTCTCGGGGCATCTTCGGAACTGAAGCAGTCCTGGGCTTTACCGTGTTCCAGTGGCCTATTGCTGGAAATAGGAAGGAAACACGAGAGGCAACGAGAAAAAGATCAGGCATCTCAAGACAACTCCTATTTGGGAAGACAGACTGATGTTTGTGCACCGTGCACAAGGGTCTTATGTGGCTTGCATGCATTTTGCCATGATTTCACTGTGGAGTGAACTTCGTATCCTATCCCACTGCATTTCATATCGGGACATCTCCCTTCTGAATTGGTTGTTTTCTCACCTTCCACCCTGGCTTGCTCAGCAAGTCTGATTTCACAGTGGAATTGTCCCTGAGAGCGCAAAGTAGGAGCTCTCTCAAGTTATGAAAGTGGCCACAGGTATCACACTTTGCAGGTGCCGTACCCCTTTCTGCTTGGGCTTTGTGTGATCCTATAAAAGTTTCCAGTATGATAGAGAAAACTTCACTAGTCACCAAGCAATTTGGATGATACTAATGAAAGTGGGTGAATGCTGGAGTTCACCTCCAGCTCGGTAAGAAGTATTGAAGAGCACTGCAAAGCAGAGGAGAGTCCCTACTTTAGCATTAGGACTTTGTTGCAAGTCTATATTTTAGTGGTGTTGTCATACCTTCAGGGACTCCTCCATCTGTCCTGTGGATGTACAGTCCGTATGAAAAATCAAAGCCTGGCAGGGTGTAGCAGTTTCTCTGGGGCTTCCCCAGCTCTGCCTACAGAAGAGTAAAGTTAAAGGAGAAGCATAAAGACCTTTCTTGGTAAGTTAAAGCCCCTGAAAATAAAACTTCATAACAGAATGTGGCCACTAGTACTAGGAATGGCTCTGGCTCCACTTGGCATAGGTTTGAATCCCACTCTCTGCACACAAGCAGAGTGTGACAGTGCAAAAGGAGAACTTGCAGCCATGAGGGACGCTGAATTTCACACAAATTTTTACCTGAGTTATAAAGCAACCTAGCCTTGCTGGAAATAGGGATCCTGACTCAATATATTATGGACTTGAAGTCTCCTTGTTTAGTTAATTTCTCCTTTGCCTGGGATGCCCACCCATGGTGTCTGCTGGGGAGACTCTGCAGCTAGTCTTAACTTTCCTTTGAGTTATTGAATTTCCAAGTTATGCACCCTCCTACAAAACTGGCACAAAGTTCCCCAAGCACAATCATGTCACCACTCCTGCCTGGGAATAATCAAGACGCAAGGCATGTTGCAGGGGGAGGATAAGGGGGATGAAGAAGGGGGAGCAGAGGCTGGGGCTTATAGCACAGAAAAGAAGAGAACTTGAGCTCAATAACGTCATTTCTATTTAGTTTTAAAATGAACTCTTCCCCAGCCCATGTGTGTCCCAGCCTGGTGGTGTCTGTGGGATTAACTGACCTCCCTTCACCCCTTTGTCTCTACCCTCCCATCTCCATGGTGAAGTCACTGCAGGATGTGTGTGTCTTGAAACCTTATTGCTGCTTGAAAGGGAGACGGCGGAGGAGGGAAAGGGCGAGAGCCTGGCAGCCTGGGTCTGTGTGTTCCTGCTAGGGAAAGCTGGAGCAGGGTCAGGCAATAAGTCCCCTGGAATCCTGAGGCATGGTGTGGGTGCTTTGGGACAGGTTATTTTCCATGGGAAGGTTGTTGGAGGAGCTGGGGTGTGGGTGTTGGCAGGTCTTGTTGGGAGAATGGAAGTGCTGAAATCCTACTCTAGTGCTTCTCACGGGTGAATCATTGAACATTAACATTGAGATGACTGTTATTACACTCCAGAGTGAACACTCTCTGGATCAGGAGATGCTGAATCAAACGCAGCCCTTTCTGCAGGGACCGAGTGAAAAGAGTGAGACTGAAAATGAACCACCTCCAACTTGCCACTATGGCAGGTTGAGGCTGTACAGCGGTTGATAAAGGATGCTGCTTCCTGGAGCTGCTTGTATAGGAACATCATCCAAACCCAAATTTACGTTCTGCTCCCAGCCAGCACTGTGCAAACCCTGGCCAGGGCCTTGGAGCAGCCAAAGCCCTCCCATGCACTGCCAGCCTGGTGGCCCTTTCCAATGTGCTGTTAAAGGATACTCACCAAGATGCTGCGGAGCAGCTTGAGCTGTTCTGCATCACCCTCAGCTCAGGCAAAGCTCTTGCTGAGCCAGTTTTTCTTGGAGAGCGAAGGTTAATAAACCCTGCCCAACACAGGCACCTTTCCAGAGGGCTCTGTGTTGAAGTCTCTAGAATTTGCTTGTAATTCCTCAAACTTTTTCGCCTGGAGCCATTTTTTTGTGCATTCAGTTTTGAGTTTCTTACCTCCTGTCTCTATATGTAGCTACGCAAAAACTTAAAAGCACACAGTGTGGCACCAGACTCCTCACCAGTGTGTCCAGGGATGAGATTGTGCCCGCTCACTTGAGCGACTTGTCCATGTTGTGACAACAGGTCTGCTCCTTTGCAGATCCCGGCAAACTGGCTGTCAGCTTTGCAAGTTTGTGATCATTGGGATGAAATCCTCTGCGCCTGCAGGCCTGTACAGTGATGCTTTCAGGTAAATCCAGGGTCTTGCTTCCCAGGTCTGGGAGGGAGGTGTTTCATCTTGGTCCCATTAAATCCATGCACTTGTGAAGCTATAAAGCACGTGTGGTATCCTTGTGACTGTGGAGCACAAGTTCACCAGAAAATGAATTTTCTGGGCTTGCTGAGATCCTTTGATAGACTTGAAAACCCCATCAGTCTCCTTGCCCTGTGTGAGGCTATGCATCCTTTTTTGCAAACAGACCTTAGTAATTAGCTTTTTGAAAGCAATCAGCTCAGCTACCTGATACCTGTGCATAATGTGGTTGCTTTCCTCCAGCTGCCTCCCGTGAACCTCTAGCAGAGGAAGGGACTGTCCCTTGCAGATGTGTCCAGCACCAAGCACGATGGGAGTGAGTGGGCTTTTAGTGCTACTGCAACTGAAATATCACACGGCAGTGCTAAACCATATGTGCATGCTGTGTGTGAGTTAGGGAGATCGCACAAAATGTATAAACTGGTGCCAGGGATGATAAAGTAGCTTTCATTGCTGATCTATTTCTCCTGTATTTACAGGCATGTGTATGCTAGCTATTTTTAGATTAATTGTCACTGATATACAAGGGAAATGGTGTAGCGGTCTTCAGGTGCATGAGAAAAGGCTTTTTCCAGGGATCATGTTCTGATACTGGATCAGCTAAGTGAGGTCAGAAATCTGCTATGATGGCGAGGATGTGGCAGATGGAAGAAAATTGCTGAGAAACTGCAGGAAAGGAGAGAGGTTTGTAACCTGTGGCAAAGCTGCTTCCAGACCTTTGAATGCAGAACTCTGTAGAATGGAAGAAATTACGGGATTTAAAGATTCCTTTTTGCAGAGCACCTGAAGTTAACACAGTTGGGTGTTTACTCCATCGCAAAATGAGTGCATGCTGTTTCCTTTTATTATCGGGTGGCATTTTACAGTCACTTTGCACTGCATAAATAAAGCTGAAGATGCTGGATAATTAATTAAAAAAAAAAATTCTTGTCCAATGTGTTGAACATGGAGAGAACCTGTGCCTGAAGAAAATCAACGGACTCGGAGGACTCTGGTTGCCTGCCAACATCTTTTACCCGTAAAAGCAAAGAATGGGAAGGAGGTAGGAGGAATGAATCTTGCTCAGTGTAATCCAAGATTACAGCCTTTCTCATTCGTAAATTAGCAAAACGCTGTTGCAACCTCATGGGCTGGTTTCATTTGTTTGTCCTGAGGCGTTGTAGGTGTGCTATGTCGTAAAGCTGTGGGGAGAGGGAGCCAAAGTTGATGCAGAAGGTCCTTTTTTCTTCCCCAGCTCCAGCACAGTTTCCTGTGTTCAGGTTCAGCCTGTCACAAAGCTGCTTGGCTGGAATACAGATCTGTCTGACAGCTGTGCCCATCAGCAGACAACTTCATTAAACCTCATTAAGATGTCATTTCTCTGCCTTATTTCCCACCTCTTGGCTCTAATTAAAACCATCTCTCTCTGCATCCCAGGCGGTCCTAATTTTCTCTGGGTACCTTCTGCAAGTTTTCTCCCTTTACGACCTCAGTGAAGAAAATCTGGCATCTTAAATACTGTTTATCCAGCCTGTTTGGAAAAGACAACTCTAGACTCTTTCCTGAAGCATTCCCAGAGCATCCTGCAGAGATCATCACCTCCTCCCGGGCCTGTGAGAGACGTGTACCGAGGCTTTGTTTGCTCTCTCAAACTGTCTTTAAGGACTCACCTAATGCATCCTTTCCCCTTGGACACAATAATTTTCATTGTTGAACCAGGTGTGTCTGTCCTGGGTTTGAAGGGTGCCATGCTCAGACTGGCTGCACTGCAGCGGTGGGGGTGTTTCATCAATGGGGATACCCTGATCGGCTGAAGAGCAAGCGATGTTGGGTGTATCGAGTTCCCTGGCCTTTGCCAGGCAGTTTCTGATTTGTGCAGCCTCAGGTTTGAGCCCTGGATTTGTATTTGAGTGTCTAATGGTGTGGGAAAACGTTTGCTGTGAAGGAAGAGGAAGGCTCAGAAATGGGTCTGTATGTAAGAGGTGGGTGCATTGCAAAGGTGTAAGGAAGTACAAAACCTTTAAGGATTCCAGGTTTTGTTGCAAGACTTAGTTGTGTTTCATCCCCTGGTATTTATGGCCCATTGGCACACATTACATCAATTGTCTAAAGATGACTGAGACTGCAGGAGGGGTAGGAGACGCTTCTGTGCAGAGAGGTACAGTGATTTTTTAATCCCTGCATCTAAGGCAGCCTTTCACTGGGAGAGGATGCTGGGCAAATCCATGAATCCTCTCTGCTCTGACTCAGCTGGGGCTGCCCTGTCTCCTCCTCGATGGCTCTGCCTTGCGGATGTCTGCAAACCCCACATCGGTGCATTTTCAGCCCGTCAGGGTCTGCTTCCTTCTCTACCTTCTGTTCCCCTTTTCATTACACCCCCTTGTACAGTAAAGCCTCCCGTCACGCTGCCATTACTATTATTATTGCAGATTTACTGCACTTGCAGAGTGAAGTGATTGTGGTGATAAGGCCCAGCATTTTTCCCTCCTTCCCCCCGCGACAGCTTGAAATCAAGCCCTTCATTTGCATTTACATGATCTTGCTGTGCAGCTTATGAGATCGGGAGATTTATTTGCTACTTAGCTTGATGTTTGATTACACTCTAAGAAGGCAGTGAGCTACAAAGTGCAGGGATACATCAGAACTGAGCTACTGAAGGCCTCTGGGGGACAGTAACTCAACATCAGGTTTAGGTAGATGAGAAAGGGAATGTTCAGTGTTTTGAGAAAGGCAAATTTGATCAGATTTTTTTTTAAAGGTGGAGAAGAAAACTTATTTTCCCTCTCTTACAAAAAATGGTTAGGAAAACAAGAATGTTAGAAAAACACACCTGAAAATCTGGATTTGTTAGCGCAGAAGAAATCCTAGCAGGGGCTGGTGGCTGCTGGGCTGCCTGCTGCTAACTGCTTGTAACTTCCACTCCCAAGAAGATTATTAATAATAAGTTGGCACTTATCTTCGAAGATTTTCATAAACATTAAAGATCAAAGTCAAAGGAAGTTTTGCTTAATGAAGGACCACAAAATCTCACCCTGATTTATTAAGCTTCAAAACATGCCACTGAGCATTAATCCTGCTGTAATAGAGGGGAAACTGAGGCCGGGAATTAATGTGCCCATGCAGGACAGCAAAGGGAATGGAGTTTGGACTGGGGAG